GGACGCAACAATGCTATGTAGAGTTAAGTAAGTCATTCTAGAAAGCGACTCAACAACAGCAGTCACTACACGTACCTTAAAGGGTAAGGTTGCTCGAGAGTGTGAATTGGTAACTCTGATTCAAGTTTGTCTACCTAGACCTTGGAACTTTGAACTGCAACATGTTTATCAAGAAGCGAACATTTTGTGCAGACTGATTGGCAAACTATCATTAGCACTAACCATACAAGAGGACCATAAGTTTTTTGGATTTCCCCCTACATACCTTACTCTATTGTTCCTTGCGGATTTTGTTGTTGGAGTATTCAAGTGTGATGAGTCCCACATTGATTGGTAATGGGTTAAGTGAAAAGTATATAAGTGGAAGGACTCATGAACTCAATGCCTTAAGGTTTTGGGTTGAGATGTGGTGTCGGATCCACTAGGTGTACTCGGAGTAGCTTGGTTCATTGGTTGTGCTCCCTCGCCACGGGCTTCCTCTGGACCCGCTTGATAGTGGTATCAAAGCTGGGTTGAGCTCGAGCTAGTCTGGTGGTTGGCTATGAGGTGGGTTGAGTACTTGGGCCTCTAGGGTATTCAGTTGAGGGGGAGCATCACAATGTTGGATTTCACACTTGGACTATTCAAGTGTGATTCCCGTATTGGTTGGTAATAGATTAAGTGAAAAGTATATAACTGGAAAGACCCATAAACCAAATACCTTCGGCCGGCAGACTCCGCATAATTAATCTTTCCAGACTTTTGTTGTTGTTGTAGTTCTTTGCTTTGGCTTTGTGCTATGTAACAAAAAATAAAATAAAATAAGCCATATGATGTAACACTTTTCTACTAGTATTAAATCAGAACTCAAGCTAATTATAATCAAACAGTTTTGAGAATTTATAATCACAATAACTTAAGTTGGTCAATGAAGGTTATTAATGGTATTATATTATATTTTTTTAGTATATTTTTTTTCATAAAAGTTTATTGGACTTGGAGAATAGAAAATGTATGAATCACTTATACTTAAAAAATTTATAATATTTAATTATTTATTATTAGAATAAGAGCAACGAGTATCAAATTCGTAACTATTGGGTCAGAGGAGAATCATTTCAACTTCAAAATTTTAATTTTTAAATAAGGACCACATTAATCATCTATATTATATTTATTATATTCCTCTAACTATTTTACAACTTGTTTAGGGTGGATCAATAAGAATCAAATGAGTCATTAAAAAAAGAGCAAATAGCCATATGGTTGTCGGCCAAATCGATTTCTCTAAAAAAATAAATATATGGGGAAATTTGCAATCCCTCATTAAACCTGCAAATATATGTTCTTTGAGTGTGATCTTTTTTTGTCCCATTTGTCCTTTCTAAAAGATTCAATTCAAGCTTGATCACCTAGCTTAGAATCGTTTAATAGAGGATTTATGTCTTGGATGTGGGTTGCAAGAGGGGATTTAGGGTTTCGGGTCTTGAATTTAATAAGTTAATCTTATATAATTAGCGGCTTATCAAAGTCTGTATAAGCTTATAGTTGAGCTCCACATGGCATTAAATCCACCACCTTACCATTTAATGATACACTTTAAGAGAAAATGTGATATATAAGATATTATTTAACGATTTCTTCACATGCATTAACATTTAGACTAATATAATGTCAATAATTATTATTCAAGAATCAAATTAATCTCACTAATCTTTTAGAATTACGTTACACTCTTTTATTTACTAATATTGTACACTTGTTACATCACTAATGAATTAAATTTAAACTACATCACCATTTAGAATAGTTTGGAGTACCGAAAACTCACTGTATCTTTTACTAAATTTGGAAAAAAAATAATCTAATTAACTTTTCTTATTTTATCCACCCTTTTATGATTGTTGTCACCTAAGTCTCATGTTTTTGTTTTTTGTTTTTTATACAATAGTGGTACTGAAGTTTAAACCCATAACCTTATACATGGATTATCCAAATCCTTTACCACTAGCTAGATCATATTTTTAATAGTTTCACATTTTCCTATTTTTAATATAAGAGTATATACTTGTGTAATATCAAACATATGCTTCATTCTTCATCTCTCTTCTTCTCTATTGTTAAAATTAATAATTCATGTATAAAAATAAATAAATGATTCATCACTTCCAATGCGAGAATTATGTGAAGCAAAATTAAATGATACTAACATTTCCCAATAATATATGGTGTTTACTGTATAAATTATCTGCTAAAGAAAATTTGTTGAAACTGGAAGCCAATATTGCTTAATGAGGTTTCTTAATTACCTTAACAACTATTTTTTTTCTGGCATCAGACAAATTGGAATCAAATTACTTTTCTGTGCTATTACGACATGCCAGCATCCCTTGTCCTTCTCCTTTACAGCGTTATCATAAAAAAACCACTTGATCAAAGCTTAAAAGAGATACCCATAGAATTCATAGGAAAAGAATGGGGCAATTAACTAGTGGTCCATTCTTGGGAAAATTAATCGAGAATATCTTTGTCAAAAGAAACATTTTTTTATAGAACCACATGAACGAAGGAGAGGACAACACAAAGGGAATAAATTTGTTGAATTCTTATTCACTTTTCCCTTTCACTTATCTGTTTTTGCTGTGATGGTAACATTTGTTTTAGGAGTTTATGACGAGTTTCATTATGCACACCCCACATTGACTAATGACCATTATCACTTGTTTGAAAATAGTCATGCTTTAGGGTTTAGGAACATATACAACCATTATCACGAGTTAAAAATAAAATAAAATAGTCATGCTTTTATATGGTGCAGGATGTGGACAGATACAACCAAAACCCTCTATTTTATTTCTATTTCTTTTTCTTTATTTTTTTTTATATTGTTCATTATTTCATCGATACTCAACTAGTGTAATTCGAGTTGAGTAGAACCACATAGACAGCAAAGCTATCCCTACCAAGTTTTAATACAACTATATTACTGGGACCCAAACTTGAGACCACTAATTAAATTATAACAATTCCTTACCAATTCATCTATATTGTTCTGGTTGGACTCCATAGGCCCAACAAGTGACAAAGGCCCAAGAGAAGGACCTTCTAGATGATATACCCTATGTTGAGCCAAAGAGTCTCTCCATATGGATTTCCACTCTTCTGCACAGCTCACCATCGTATACACACGATAACAAGGGAATGCCACACTGTGATGGTGGACTCAAAACTAACAGTTTTGACTCACCTTTTATCCCCCTCTCTCGATAATAGAAAATATTTATTCTCTTATGTAAAACTCTACCTCTCCAATAGAGTGGGGATTTGATTTCCATCACATTTACAAGTTCTTACTTTACTGAATTTTAGAGTTATTGTAACCAATACACAACCCCCACTTTGCAGCCCTCTCTGTGATAGCACTTGCGGTGACTCTCCTTAAGCTTTGATCTATATCACTACTTCTTTAAGCACCACCTTATTGACATACTATATCCTTTAAGAGATACACACCTGATTCTAAATCCATCACAATTCAAACGTGGTGGTGGTGTTTCTATTTATTTTTCTAGTTGTTATCAAAATCCCATTTGGCCCTCCTGCTTTTTTTTGTTTTGTCAGACTCCTCGATAGGGTCACACTTCAAGATGTAAAAAGCAGGATTCAATAGCCACATGGGAGGTACTAAATTAGTAAATTCTGATCACTACTGAAAATTTTGAAATAAATAAACGCTACCATCATGTGATAAGCTTTAAAGGAACGGACCAACAAATGTTCAAGCTTTTTTATGTGGTCCTCTAATTCAATAATTAATTGCCTTAGGTGGTACATTAACTCAACCCCCTTTTTTCTAAACCATTCTTTATGATTCTGATATATGGGGTAAAGGAGAAGAGGTACTACTACTGATAGTGATGAAACTCAGGCACACGACTGGCTCTCTGCCACCGAAAGTGAGAGGTAGTTCTTGTCTGAGCTTGAAGACAGCAAGGACAGGTGTCAATCTATTAGACCTTCAGATCATTGCCCCGTGTGGCAGGGCATGTGAACCATTAAGCTCAGCTTCTAAGATACACTCTAATTCAATAATCAATTTCTGATTTTTTCTTTCTTTATTTATTGTTTTTGGTGTGTGTTTTCTGATGGAGGCTTTTGGGGCCAGGCTGGTAGAGAAGGACGACGATGTAAATGTCAAGTGAACTTTCTTACAAATCGACAATCACATAAATTGCAAAGGAAAAGAGAAAGAGTGAGAAAGAATAGACACGATGATTTATCCTGATTCATTTAAAGGCTACGTTCAACTTGTCTATATTATATTCACCTGTCACTCGTTACAAGTCATTCAGTTTATAAGAACAATAGAAATAGGATTAAAAAACCAAGGAGAATAGAAATAGGATTAAAAAACCCTAACAGCAGCTATTTATGAGCTCAAGACCAAACTACTAAGAAAAGGAAAAATAACAATAAATCAGAGACCCACAACAGTACCTAATCTCTATGGACCTGAGGGCGCTGGCTCCTGGACCCTCACCAACTTATCTGGGAGTAAGATCCCAGTTACTTTTCTACTGACTCCAACAACAAAGATCTTTATCAGCCTACAAAGTATAAACTGTACCAAAAGGGTTATATAAAAGATGAAGAAAGAAGAGAGAGTAATGTCTAATGTCAAATGTCAGCAGGGTTGTACATGGTGGGGCAACAAGCCACATGGGGCCATTGTATTGTGTCGAATAAGCATGTTTTTTTGGCACTTTCGGCATAACTTTAGAGAAGTGGAGTTGGCTATTCTCCCTGTCTAATTTTAATGACGCACTTGCTTTGGTAGGTAAATAGGTAATGCTAATAAGGAGAAAGATAGACACAACATGATACTGAAATTGACTCCGTAAATTAAACGGTGATAGCTTGTAGCAAGGTAACTAAGTGAAAAGGAAAGAATTTAAGTTCGATTTACAACTGTCATATTTGAAAGAGGTTTAATCATTTTTAATTTACCTGCACTCTAAATTAGTCTCATAATAATTTCAAAAAAATCAAAGCTTGTGAAATATTAAAAGGAACCAACTCATCCAAAAAATAATTAGGGTTGAATTAAAAATAGAAGAAAGAGAATGACTCAGCAGTAGAGGTCCACGACATGATAAACCTGCACACTTAACCTAGCAAAAGCTACAGATTTGAGATTTGAACAACTTTGAGGCCACGAGTAACCAACTTACAATACAAACATAAAGAGCATTTGACAGAGGAAATTTTTTTATTTATTAAGAATTTCAATTTTCAGAAATACGATACAAACATTCTGTTTATAATAATATCTGAAAATCAAAAATTTAAAAAAATTTAGTTTTCTAAAAATCCTACAAAATATCTTATACCAAAAGTCCAATCATTCATTTCCTTGAAACAACAACATATGCATCCTATTACCCTCAAGAATATGAGTTCCGTTTGCAAGCTTCTTACCTGTAAGATGCCTACTTCTAATCACATTCAATAGACATACCATAATTATAGTTTGTGAAACCTTTTTTCTTTTTTTAGAATCAAACCAAACCCAGAACCAGAACTAAGATACACATGACCCCCCACCCAAAAAAAAAAAAAAAGAACATAACTTTTTGTTATATGGCACAAAAAGCTTATATAACTGATGTCATATTACACGAAATCATCCTTGTTGGAGGAAGTTAAAAAGGAGATATTCTTATTAAACGTTTCAAGGTAAGTATGAGATTGAATTGCTTGAAAGGCAGAAAATATAGGTATAGGTATGTACTTCAACAGAAACCATTAGTTGCAAGAGAGTGAGAGTAAAAGAGGTAAATAATAACAAAAATTAAAAATATATATATGACAGCTGGCATAGCCCAAAAGTGTCAATAGCTCGAACCGGAGCTCGAACCGGCACCAGAAGAGCCAAAGAGTAAGTCAGCAAGAGCTGACATGGCTCGAACCTGCATCTCAAGGGCAGGTATGTAATCAATAGCTTCTTCCAAAATCACTGGCAGCGGTTCTTTTCTGCAACCGGGAACCAACCGGCCCAGAACCCTTACTTTCCTCTGAACCGCTGGGAGGGTCTTTCCCTTGAGCCGGAAAACGCTGACACGTGGCTTCCTGGACCGGCTGTTGGACCCGGTCGGCCCAACTACCCTCTGTCTCTTGTGCTGCTTCCTGAACTTGAGCTTGAGCCGGTTCGTGAGTATGGCTCGGCTCCATCGTGTCCTCCCCCTGGCGGCGACGGCGAGGACCCTGTCGGCGGCTTCCCGGACGGCTCTCCCGCGGCGAGGCGCGTCGCCGGAGCCTCCGATGTTGACTCTGGCCAAGGCTTTGTGGAGCTTGGAGGAGTAGATTTGTTGCTGCGCCTGCGATTTCCATTTGGTTTGGCTCTGTTCTTGTTGTTGGTTATGTTTCGTTTGAGATTTCTTCTTCTTCTTCATCACACGTGACCGAATATCAGTGGTGGAGGTGGTGGTTGGATTTGAGATCAGAGATGACGCCATGTTCCAACGCCAAATCTGAAAAATAAAATAAAAATTTCCCAAAAAAAAAGAAAAAATAATTCTCCGGTTTCGGAAGTGAATTCAGTTTTAAGGAAAAGGGGAGTGTGAAAGTTTCTATCTTTCTGTGTTTTCTATTAATGGGTCTGTGAGGACGATGTGGGAGAAGAAAGCCCTGGAAAAGGAAAGAGAATGGGAAACTTTTTTTTTTTTTTTGGGATTCAAATGGATACGGTTCAACAAGTTACAGATTCGGATGAAAGAGAGAAATTATGGTTAGATTCTAGAAAGAGAAATTGTTGGAGTGAGTTAGAGAGGTTGGATTAACAAGGTTCCATATATATATATATATATAGTTGGAGGAGCTTCAGATATAATCCAACAGAAAAAAGAAAATGAATGGATTCAGAGAGAGAGAGAGAGAGAAGATGATGGTTGTAACTGGGAAAAAAGAATGGTGTTGAAGGGTTAGAACGGAACGGGGTAAGAGTGAGAAGTGGGTAAGGTGTCCCTTCACTTGGAGGTTGAGTTGAAGGGAGAGAGAAACCGTGAACGAGGCTTATATAAAGGAATCACAACACACCACGCGTCCTTTTCCTTAACCAAATAAATTAATTAACTCCTTATATAATAAAAAAATATTTGGGTTCTGTAACCTTTGCATATTTAGATATCGGGCCTTTGAAGCCTTCCTTGGTTGCTTCAGTTTGGTAATTGAACAGTTCTATTTTCGGTACTTGTCTGCTTTTGAGCCCATGTTACAAGCACAAAGTAAAATTGAATCTGTGATTGTTATATATATATATATATATATATATATATATATATATATATATATATTTTCAAAATAAAATAAAAAGTTATTATATATACATCAAACGATAGTAGTTCAGTTGGCGCATGAGAGTTGAGCACATGAGATGAGAATATGTATTCGATCTTTTCTAGTATTATCTTTGGAAAAAATTTAAAGTTTTAACCTTAAATTCGCCCCGAATATAATTACCTTCCATGAAAATACTTACGGTTTATAAGAAAAAAGAAAAGTTATTACATATGCTGTTAATTTTATCTTGGATCAATTTCGTAAATTAAATTAACTAAACCATAATTCAAAAAATTTACCTATACCCACCCGTCAAAGTCCCAGCAATAAGGAAAAAAAAAAACACTATGAACTTTAATATTTGAGAAAGACCATCAAGCCAGAACAATTCCGAGATTGAAACCTAGAAGCTTTCTTCAAAAAATCATTAAAAAGCTTCATAACTCTTGCAACCGAACCACCACCAAACTCACTACCACTCTAAAAAACACATAATGTTAATGGCCTTCATTAGAGAAATCCAACACCCAGAATACCCAACAATCTATACTATTATAACAACAACCAACCACCGATCAAATCCATCAAGCAGAGGAAAGTTTGAATAGAATTTTTAGTAATAATGAAGGAAGATCATTTTCTAAATTTAAGATTCCTTTCATTAGAAGATGGCTACTTTAGCTTCATATAGGATATCCATTTGGCCTCCACGGTTTTGATCAAACATGGTACACAAATAGTTAATGGGCCATTTAGGAACTCTTTAAAATGTTGTCTTGATGACGTGGAATGAATAACTAAATTGATGTCATTTTCTGTACTGAGAGAATAAATTGATGTGAATTGTCATTTAAGTAAGAAATAAATAGAAAGGAAATATTTTTGCTATTAAAAAAAATTAGTATCTATTTAATTACTATTGAATTAGCATTTTTTCCTTTTTAAATTTTTTTTCAGCATTCTCTTTATCCAATTTAATGGTGATTAAATAGACAGTGGGTTCATAGTAAATTTTTTTGATAATAAAAATATCTCTTTTCTAAATATCAATCCTATTTTTGAGGCATAAAACAGAAAGCTTCCTAATATGTGCATAGAGTTGAAGAACTTAAACCGAAACCTCGTAATTTTATTCTCGCAGCAGCTCCAGAAGGCATTATATAGCTAAATATGATATCATAATGACCATTTTATTATAAGATGCAACTAAACACTAAAATAAGGAAAATATCCTTTTCATTTCAATTTTACCAAGGATTCAAAGTCGAGACGAACAACAAGTTTCTTTATCACTTAAACCAATTATGTCAATTTTATAATCAACATATATCAAATAAGTAATGATTTGATAAAATAAAAAAAGTTATAGTTAAAATATGTTTAACAGTAGAGCAAAAAAAAATACGTTTAACAATTAATGTCGATAAAATTTCTCATCTTCTAAATTTGACTATAAAATGTAAATGATTGTCTTCTGTCTAGTAACCTAGAAAAAAGGGTAACTTAAAAAATATTAACAAATTAAAGTAAGATAGATACTGATCACTAATTACAGTATTCGTAGCTGTAATCAAAAGTGTGATAAAATTTGCACAACCCAACTCAAAAGAATTGTTTTTGTTTAGTTGTTTTTTTTTTTTTTTTGTAAATTGTTTAGTTGTTTTTAAAGGGGCGTTTGGTACAGGAGAAATTTTTATTTGTCTAGGAATCTCGATTTTCAAAAATATAATTTTTACATTCAGTTTACGATAATATCTGAAAATTTAAAATTTAAAAAAATTTAGTTTTCCGAAAATCTAGAAAAAATCTGAGTACCAAACGGCCCCTAAATGAGTGAACATTAGAAAATCTTTTAATTAAGTAAATGCTGCATACAAGTCTCAATCAAGATTTATATTGGTATTATAAATAACTTTGTAAATGACTTAATAATCAAGTATTATCATCAGGAAATAAACCAGTTTTTTCATTCAACGCAGTTGAATTTTACCAAAACACTTTTGTTCACTTGGTGAATGAAAACAAACTTTATAAAGTTCTAGTACACTGTCCCAGTGCCCCCTCCGCATGACCAGTGCATTCATTTAATCTTAAGCGCATATCTTGCATCAAACTTTGCCCTCAAAATCAAAAGCAACGTGATGCCAATTAGGGATATAAATGGATCACGTTAGATTGGATTTCAGCTTTTTTGACTTAAGCTTATCTATTGACCTATTCAAGGCTTTGTTTATAGGCTAAGTTTGGCCTATTTTTAAAAATTAGAAAGCTTGATATGATCTACAGGCCTCCCACAGTAGATACTGAGTAAAGAAAATAATTATATAGAGCAAAGAAAGTTTCATTCATAAATGCACTAATACTTCTCTTAAGAAATAAAAAATGACAAATAAGAAAGAGTCAACATAATACCTCAACTCTATAATATATATCATAGGAGAATTAGAGTCAAAGAAATGGGTAAAATAAGAAAGAAATATAATTACTGAGTCAACCAAAGACGAAACTTAGAAACGAGAGTGAGAAGTCACTTAGAAGCGATGGTGCACAAAAGAAATTAGGGTTGGTACTTTGTCGCCTAAAATAAATATATTATTTTATTTTAAAAAATTAAATAGATCAGTTTACAAGGCTTTAGGCCATGCTTGATAAAGTTGGCCTATGACCTATTTGTTAAAAAAAGCTTTCTTATAAGCCTAAGACTACTTTACTTTTCAGAAACGCCAGACTAAGCTAGGCTCATCATAGGTCAGGCTGTAGGCCAGGCCAGACTAATCTGATCCGTTTACACCCTTAATACTAATCAACGCGAATGCTAACTGAGATCAACTTTGACAAATTCTGACAACTTTTTTTTTATTTCTTTAGGGATGAACAATTCCAGCACCCACTTATTATGGAAAAATATTTTTCTTATATTATTAGAGATATTTTATCTCATATTATAAAAATAAATATATGAGGCTCATCTTTTATAAAAAAATAAAATTAAACTAAGGGGGGTGTTTGGTAGCCAGTATTTTTCAGGATTTTCGGGAAACTGAATTTTTCTAAATTTTTAATTTTCGGATATTATCGTAAACCGAATATTTTTATCATATTTCTAAAAATCAAGATTGGGGGACAAAAAAAAAAAAATCTTTGTCAAACACCCCTAAAAGAATTCACATATTTACTTTTATAATACGAGAGAAGATATCTCCAATAACATAAAATTAATAAGTCGTTTTACATATTTACTGAACTGAAAAACGAGGCCCCACAGATTATTTCTTTTCATTCCGTGCAATGATTATTGGATGTCATGATCTTTGCTAACAGGAACGATAAACAAAGTGGGGGGATGCATGTGCTATGCGGATTGTGGGCTATCTTTCTGGCACTTTTCTATCCCAGGCTTTGTTTTTGTATTTTGGTCAAGGCTTTGGGTTTTTACTCATTTGAGGTTGTGGACAGTCATGCCCTACATTTCTTGAAATGGACCCCAGTGCTCTATGCAATAAATTTTTTATCAATATTATAATCCTCAATTATTCATAATTTGCTTATGAGAACCAAACATCAGAATCAAAAAAATGGTGTCCCGGCCTGTTTTTTGATTCTTATTTCAGAGCAGGCTTCCCACCAAGCTCCCGTTTGCTCTCGTCTATATTATTAAAATCGACTCGGTTAATAATTTGGTCGAAGTATTAGATCTGTGGGTCACTATTCAATCAATGAATCACTTATTGAACTGCATAATCCGATGATTATATAAAAATCTATAATTTATATTAAAAAAATTATAAATATACTCAAATAGCTGAAAAAAATAATATAAATTCTAAATATTTTAATATAAAAAATAACAAATTATACATTATTGTCCAATAAAGGATCAAACAAACACATATTGTTAAGGTTCGGTAAACGACATCTCTAACTATCAAATCAAAATTTCTTGCATAATGCATAACTGAGATAATATTAAGATTATATGTACATAACTTATGTAAGTCAATAAGTAACAGATCACTCAATTATGATTATTATTTTTTTGGAAAAAAAAAATTTGAATTTTTTTTTAAAAAACCCCGGGCTAGGTCACCGATTTTTTCACCAAAACTGACCAGGTCGCACCGAGTCGTACCGGATCTGATACTTGACCGATTCAATATGATAATCGGACCAGTCAGATGATTGGTTCACCGAATTTCGGGTCGATCCAACCGGTTCGGTCCGATTTTCGCAACATTTGCTCTTATAGTTGTGCCTATAAAGATGATACTTTACATGTCCTATCAAAATGCACATAGCAAAATTGTAAACTTGAAGATATGCTCAGATATTCACCCAATCTAGCCAACTTAGCTAATTCATATTGGGAACATTGATGTAAAAAGCGTATAGAAAAAAATGGCTAAATAGAAAGTTAAAATTTTATGAAAGTGTAATATTCAGTTCTCAATTTTTATTAACAAAATAATAAAATCAACTCTACAATAAAGGTTTTGAGCACTCTTTTAAAGATTAATTATAAATCAATTCCAAATCTAAAATTTTAAAAATAAATATAACGATAATTATCTTCTAAAAAGAATATAATTAAATCATTTAAAACACGTCCCAAATCTTAAATCTCAATTCATGCCAAATTTGTTGTTTTTCTTTTTCTGCCAAACAAATAACAATCGTATTTGCTGTTTCATTTGG